TAAGTGAAAATGAGTTTGCAAAAATTACCAGCAGCAAAGCTCTTAGATATTTATCATGTCTAAACCCAGCCAATGTCATTCTGACCTTTGTACCCGCAGGCCAACAATACACCCATCACGATGACTGAGTGCCTTACTGTAGGCAGCTGACAGACAAATACAGGCATCAACCAGTCAAAGTTCACTGATGGGTAATCACGCTGACAATGACAGCTGGCTGGAAAATGAGTCAAACCTAATGTGAAGGTGATATGCACAGGGAGCCTCTGGCCAGCAATGCAGATGTGTGTGTATGTGTGTGAGGGGTGATAATGTGTCATAATAATTTCAGATGTCCAGCTCCTCCTCTCATGCCTCTCAGTTCTGATTATAGTTTACACAGAGATCACCTCATAAACTTTAACCTAAAGATGTATCCCACCATGCCTCTGTCTCCCTCTTACGTGATTCTGTGTGATAAGGATGAAGTTCATTATCATTCTGATATTCAAGCATCTTATCAATGATTCTTGAAAGGTAATCACATCACTGATCAGTGCAAATTACCTCTGATGATGTGGTGCTAAAGGATACATATTCAGGTGTTTGGCAGGAGGTTATCAATCAAAATGTAAATACGCCTCCAGCTCAGTGAGTGGAAACATGTAATTATAGCTCTACTCCAAAGAGGGCTACAATGGCAATAAAGCACATCAAAGGCAGCCAGTGAGTGTGATTGTGTGCAGTGGTCTGTCAAGGAATGACAACCTGCTATCAACTCACCACTTTGTTTTAGTGATATCTCGGGACACCACGTGAAAGATCCACACACTAATTGTTTACACACCATCAATCCAATTATAGCACAGTGAATGAAAAGAAATGTCTGATCACCAAATGATCCAGATGATGAGCCAGAAGCAATGAAAGCATCTTACCTGTGATAGTTTTTAAAGTAGTTGATACTCTGACGTTTGATAGACTCCTGCAGGACCTCGGACTTGCTGCCACAGAACTCCTCACCCACCTGCATCAGCCTGAGAGAGTGTGGAAGGGTAAGGGAGCAAATGAAGACATTTACAAAGACGAGGAGAGAAAAACCCCACAGAGAGATTTCCACGCTATAAAAAAGTCCCCTGATGTTGGCATAATGAACCCATTAAGTGGTGTTTACAGGACATGTGGCTTTGGAGGCTCCAATAACCAAAACCTCTTTGTCACTGAGCACAGGAACAAAATGGCTCACTAGTAAGAGAATGCACCATAAGAAGAAAAGTGGACTCTTCAATAGATGCCTACTGAACAAATGAAGCCCAGTTGTTTGTGATGAAGTACTGTGATTAAAATAATGATCTCATCAATCACTTCCTCTCCATATGAATAAAGAAATGTAGTAATGTTTATCATAAAAATTAAACATGTTATAAAGGTATTTCTGAATGAACTCTCCCTAAATGTTTTCTGCAGGTAAAACATTATGATTCTAAAAAAGAATGAAAAACATTCTTGAGGATAGATCAAAAACAGCCCTCAGCCTCAAAGCCTCTTGGGAAAGTCCACTTTATGTGTGAAGGACAGCTGAGCCAGCAGGGTCACAGAGACACAAGGTAAACAGATGTGCTCTGGTGACTTGAACTTGCCCATCAAGAGACAAACAGTGTAATGTTAGCAATGCTGTTAAAGAAAAAGGGCCCTACAATTCCACATCTATAATAAGTGATCCATTTTGACATTTGCAGATACGTTTTCAAGCTGTTGAACCTGCTCCAGCTGAACAGACAAACAGCGATTTCACAAAATGAAAAGATGATCTGATCTACAGTATGCACAGCAGATAACCAATTACACAAACAGAGCAGCTTCATTAGATCAGCAAACACTACATGCAAATTTCTCCTTACTGGATATACGTAGATTTGGGGTAGGTGACCTCAAATGTACAGGACAGATAATAGCATTGGAACCCACAAATAAATGCACATAATTACTGGTGGACTTGAAAAACACACAAAGACTCCAACAAATTAGATTCCTTTCACCCACAAATTGGTCCTGCTGGACACAGACTACACCAAAACACATTTACAGTAACAATGGGCTGCGCAATGCACAGCTTGTCAACAGTTCAAGGAATGTGATGAATGTGTGTGCACTTATTACGTGGTGTACATTCATGCCAAATAAACTGGAGTATCACACTATTACAGTCACAAATAATGTGTGTGAGGTTTACATGGGTCACACTGGCATTATACTTTCAGTTTTAGTGTTCAGGCAAACAAAACCTGTTTGTGTTTATAAGTGTATTTGCATAATTCAAGTAGTGGTAAAGCAAAAGAGCAAGACTACATGTGAAAGTAGAAAAACAAAAAGGAAGACGACAGAAATAGCAAGATCATGAAGACCAATTAGTGGAAACAAGGAATGGGCTGGCTGCTCTGGCCCCGTGGCATACCTACTGATGACATCCAGTACCACTATGAAATCGTCATATTTGAAGTTAGACATGTCTGTCCCCAGGATGTAAGCCTTCATTTTCAACTGAACATCCTGAAGAGACAAACGAGAGGGTAATTTGTAGAAGGACAACATGTGACGGGGTCATTTTGAATTGAGCAGAAATGGGAAAATGAAAAGAGAAACTAGAAGTGGAAAGGGAGAAAGAAATACAATTCAGAACATGTAAACAGAGGAACACATACTGTAGAAGGGGAATCTTCTCTACAAACCTGCCAGATTCGTGTCAGTCCATGCTCCAGCTTCTTCTTCACATAGCTACGGTCCACCACCAATTCATCAGACCCTGCTGCTGCGTCATCTATTGGTAAGCAAAAGAAGGTGCACAGACTGATAAGAGATTGATGAAATCCATTTTATTTATCAGTTGTTTAGGTGTCATTTCAGACTCAAATCAATTTACTAATTTCAACGTACACATGCACAGTGATGCAAAATTCCAAACAAAAGTCATGCTGTGGCTGATGAAGAAAGTAGCCTAAACAAAAATACTTCTTTGATTGTGATAAAATATCCCTCATTTTAATATGATCAGGGAAATGTGGTGTAGTTCATCTGCAGAACTGGCCCGCCTTAAGTACAGTCAAAGGTTTGACCGTGCCTGAATTTTAGCTGACGACTATACTGAGTGAGCATCCAAAAAGTTCAAGATCAGGAAAACTGACAGCGACCTAGAAAGCAGAAGAACAAAACTAGATGACCTAGTCCTTTTTGCTATCAGACAAGGACGCCAACATCTTCAGTGAAAAAAATGGCTCCTCCTCTCTCATCAGCTCACTATCCTTTTATTTGTGTTTCTCTGACCGATGAGAGAAAATAGCATGTGGTGCAGACACAGCAGAGGCAGCTCCAGTGACTGCAAGACTTTAATTTAGCTGGAAATTGCATCAATCAATCTCAAGCTGCTTGCCCTGTTTGAAGTGGAATCTCTTGACAAGCCAGCATCAGTAAGCCTCTGAATCAGGTGGCTGTCAATCCCACATTAAATTCCTTTGATAAATAAGGAAGACAGAAAAATGCAGAGACGATGAAGGATAATGTTTAATTTGTATTTAGGGTTTGTTTGTCTTTTGCATGTGATATATTTATAGAAGACACTAGTTTAAAACAAATAAGTACCATATTTTATACCATAAATAGGAGCTTTTTTAAATCTATCCTAAATCAATTTGGACGTTACTCTTACCTTCTGCATGTTCCTAACATTTCACAGGAAGAAAATACTCCATAACAAGTAATAATTCTTTGTAATAATTATTTGTCAGTCCTATTAAAGACATTCAAGCTTTTTGCTTTGATCTAGAGAAAGGCCAGCTGTCGAGGTCAGCTGCAGGGCTACACTACTGCTAGGGATTTACAGCAGTGCAGCACCCTCATACCTAACTCATTGTAACTTCAACACTTCAACACAGTGCAGTATATAATACCCCAAAAAGTCAAAATACAAAATCACAATAGCTTCCAACCGAGAGAGGAAAGGTAACTCTGGTCAACAAAAGCTAGACAAAAATGCTAAAACTTTGCTGCAGCATTTGTTATTCGAGTTTCTCCTTTACTCAAAAGATTTTTGGACGTGGAAATATAGTTATAGACAAACCAAACAATTTGATGAACCTTCCTTGTTGAAAGAATACTGGAGAAACAAAGTGAAGCTGAGGCTGTGAAAGCCGAGAGGCCACACAAAGGTGAGACAAGAGAGACTAACTGATTAGCTAATGATACAAAACAGAGCTACAGAGTGGGGGCACCAGAAATGACTCTTTCTGCAAACCCATAGCTCAGTTATGCCAATGGAAAAAGAAAGAAGACCAAGAACTAACTACATATGCATTAACGGTGTGGTATTAACTAATGCTTTTTAATAGCTAATCTAATTAAAAATAACATTTCTCATCTGATGATCAACTGATGACTTTTCTAAACTTGCAATGGACACTGGACATAATGATATCCTTTGAAAATGTAAGTCGCATCAAATTAAAAAAATATCTGTTTGGTCAGATGTGATTAAATTATGACACAGGGGAGGATCATTATATAAATTATTCTTGTACATAGCATCTGGTTGGGTTTGACTACTGTAAAACTGTAAGCTCATGGGAGCAACTGAGCTTAAAATGTAGTGTAATAAAGGTTTATTACTTTAAAAAAAAATCTAAATAATAGCAAAAATGTGCTTTCTGAATCCATTTTACATTTTTATTTAACTTAAAGTATTCCTTTTTCCTTTCGTCATCTTTTCACCACTTTTTAAAAACAGTATTTTCCCCACTGTTGACCTGTGCAGGGTGTAGAAAGCCTGACCAGTTTAAATACTTAGAAGGCCTTAATAATGGTTATTAAAATACTATTATAGAGAGAGTGGAAAATATAAATGATACGGAAAGCCGCCCTTTGGGTGGTAACAAGTGTTTGACCTATTGTGGATAACAGAGTTCTTGGTGACTCATGAGACAAACGCACACAGGGGCATCAACTCCCCAGTGGTATTAAACTATGACTCAAAACAATAGTTTGTGCACAACTTTGCATAAATCTGTAAAAAAAAAAATAGCTAAAGTCAGAACACTACTTACAATTTCTGAATGTTATAAGAACACAATCAAAATGGAAGCAGCGGGGCTTTCATCACACTGCACTACCACAGCACGACATTCATTACTGTTCATGGATATAAAATATGATGCAATTTTACCCATAGATGATAGGGTGAAGGCCCAAAACTGTGAGAAATTAAAATTAAAATTAAAAATAAAGCAGCAGGGCTGACTGACATTTTTAGATAGCAAAAGTTACTTTGAATAAAATATCTGCACAGAACATGTTTGTCTGTGGTACTGCAATGCATTGTTAATAAATCTACCTGTATGGTTTTCTTTAACATAGCAGAAAAGACAGCCTCCAGACACTCCAATATTAGTCTACAGGGTTCAGGCCCACAACATGTCTGAGTATGTAGCAGGTGCACACGCTGGTCACTCTACCCCAGTCAAGTGCTCACACACACACACGGAGCGACCCCTGCGTCTGATGGCAGGGTGTGTGCTTCAGCAAAAGATCTACTTTATCAGGTACAGATACGACCTTGAAAGATGATTTCCAAGTTACCAGATTAATTAATGACACTTTATTCTGACCGGCTCAAAAGATCAAGTGGACACAGACCCAAATTCAATAGGATGTTCTTTTTGCTTTTTTAATCAGGGGAGAGGTGAGACTGCGTCTGTGTGCCTGACACGAATAGGGGGAGAGAGTGATCTTCAGTGGGCCTGACCACTGGGGCTCCTATAGCCTTTGGGAGTCACTGTCACCAGCAGAACAAGTTTGTCCAGTAAATTGCAATCAGATAAAAATAGAAAGGTGAAAACAAGGACAAAGCCAGGTCGAGGACCAGAGTGGATAGAAGCATCACCCAAAAGCCATCACCTCTAATTTTATGTTTATCTTAGGACTGGCTTTTTGCTTATTATTACCAGTTAATATTGCTAGGGACTCGTACGATGATGACTGCCACACTGAAAAGGAACTTGATAAAGGCTGAAAAATGTGCCACACCACTACACAGTTTAGCACCAGAATGCATTTCTTCTCTACTCTTTTTCCTCACAGATTTTATTTCTGAACTTGCACTTGTCAGATCAGAACAAACAGAGAAGTGTTGCTCAAATAAAGGCTGAAATGTGACAAAGGTCACTGGGTTCAGTACATTAGGTATAGTGTTGTACCTGGAATTGGTGTGCTCTCCTGTTTGTCATGCTCCTCATGCCACTGCATGGTGCGGTGGTAGCTCAGCATCACCTCCCACAGCGCCTTACAAAGATCTGTCAGGCAGGGAATGTAGCTGTCCAGGGTGATATGCTGCCAACAGAGAGGATGAGAAAGCAAGGTCACTTTCTCTCTAAGAATTCCTTGATATAGTTTGTGTTGCATGTTTCCATGTGCTCCTGGACTCAGACAAAGAATTGACAAAAGACATCTATTTTCTGTGTAATAACAAATGCTTTCATCATATGTAAGATGCAAGACATATCTCAGATGTGCCTGTGTGTGGGTTCTGTTACTGTACCATAACAATTTAATGAGCTTAAAATGAACATGCACAGGTGATTCTCAATTGTAATACTGTAACTGCATTAAAGTAAAACTTCAGTTTTTGCATTATTTGTAAGAAAACTATCCCTTTAGCAGCTATTCACTCTGTAATGTACGGCACTGGCTCCCAAGCATTTTCCATTGGAGCCCCCCCACCCCCAGCCCACCCACGACTTGTATGTGAGAAAAGCTGATATGACACTAGTTCCCCACACCGTGAGCGGACTAGTTAGCAAGAATAAAGAAGTGAATCAGAGAAATAAAACACTCTTTTCTCATTGTTTCTGATCAGTTCTGTTCTAAAGCACATATAAATGCAGCCATACTTCCTTACAACCAAGTGGAAGGGATTTGGCATCATGCTGCCCAAACATACACAAAATCCTGCTGTCTGTTCTGCTGTGCCCTCTCTGCCCTGCACCTTATGTGTGGGGCCAAGTCCTGTATAGAAACACAGCAGCAGTCCAATGAAATGCAGCTGTGAGAGAGCACCATGGAGACACAACAGACTGAATGGAGAAATATTCTGATCCAATGCTTTGCAAAACTTTGAGAAGCAGTGAAAGCACACTTTTGCAGATCATCGTGGAGATAGGCTGGACATTAGTGGGGGGACAAGCAAGGTAATGTCAAAGTAGACTTCCCTAAGCATTTTCCCACCCGTGCCTCTCCACACACAGCTTACCACGCATGCCAATGTCAGGACTTCATTTCTTGTCTGAAAGGGTTACAACTAACTTTTTTAACACAGACCAAAAAAAATCTTTTTAAATTGTTTCATGTGCAAACTGTTGTTTAACCAGTAATTGTGTTATTATGATTTTATTTACCATGTGCAAATCTAATTTTGACTTCAGCACAGACAATCCTTCACACCCCCACAGTTATCTCTGGCAGCCGCCCCAACAGGGGCGCGGACCCCAGGTTGGAAACCATGGGTGTACCATGTGGTTATCAACGTGATAGACCTTTTTGACTGAAACATATCATTTAAGTTTGAGCACCTGAATGATTGCTGACATATCTATTCAGGTGGATAATCTATCACTGCGTGTACATCTGAAAGTAATACATCATGTTAATATCCACAAGGCAAACTTATTAATTACTTCTATGCATTATAAGACAGTGTGGCTCTGTTTGTATTAATTTACAAAGGAAAAGAATATGTAAATGATAATGGACTCATGCAATAATGTGCTTTAGCAGACTTCATGTCCTCTTTATGATAAATAATGGTCTGCCCACCTACGTATCTGACAGCATCACTTCATCTCTGGAAAAACACAAAGCCTGTCACTGAGCCTGTGAATAATCACAGTGCTCAGAACACTATAGTATAATGCATGCTTCTGAACACAGGCTAGACAGCCAGAACAAAGTGCTCAAGTAAGTTAAATTAAAATTTAGCCCACCTAAGAAAAGTGCAACTGGCACAACAGTAGCCACTGTTCTACAGCAGCCACAGCTCAACAGCATAACTCAACAGCGTCTTGTCAGCATGTTGGAGGAAAAATTAATCACTGCCAGATGAAACTGTGCTGTCCACAGCAGCTCTGCTTTATTTATAATAGGTGTTTGTGGACCCTTGCTAACTTTCACAAAAGCATTGTAAATTACACGCAATGAGCCTCACACACTGAAGATTGCTGAGAGAGTGCATTGCAATAAGGAACCCAACTGTGCAAAGACTAACATAAGTGAGGGCCAACACTTGCTGGCTTTTTCATCTGGCATGTCGAACAGAGCCTGAGCGCTACACAACTACTTGCCAGAAAAACTCTATCAACAGAACATTATTTAGTGAGACATCTGAAATAGATTCATGACAGTAAGCCATCGGCAAGAAAGTTTTGCATACTGATCAAAACGGCACAACAGGCCTGGATCCACTACTGTTACAAATGCTCTGATGCTGTAAGAGGGAAATGCTTTTAATTCAACAGCAATTGTTACACTCTACACTAAAGTTTAATGGACAGTTAAAGTGTTATGCAGAAAACCAGGAAATTGCAAACAATGTCATTAATTTTTATAGGACTAAACATTTGCACTACCTCAGTCAGCCTGTTCAGTACATACAGTATGTATACAGTTAGTAGAGGGTTGATTAAAAAAAAAATTATCCCAAAAAAATTTTGTTATTATTCTTTTATTGTACTTGTTTTTTTTTCAAGTTGTATCTTTAATCAGTTTGCACCACATTATAAAAATAAACTGCTTGTACAGTATGTGAAAACCTACTTGGCAACAGTTACTGAATCAGATTCAAACATATGTGTGTGCGTGTGCATGTGTGCATATTAAAGTTGACAACTCAAAGCAGGTTTGCATCTTACACCCGCAGTAGGCAAAAACACATATAATTTATTAGTATTAATAATTTTAAAAATGAAAACTTTGGCTGGAACCAACCATCCTTCTCAAGAAGTGCTGTGATGAGAGCTCAGAAGAGGTGGACTCAGGATCTATTTCTGGACAGCCAATTGGTTTTCTGATGACTGTTACCCATCACTGTGCACATAACACACGCTGAGCTATGTCGTGAAGGGTTTGAAAAGACAAAACGCTGAGTGCATTTTTTCAGTTGTGTGTGTGGGCGTATGGAGGAGCGCATGTCAAAGAAATGCCACACATTTTTCAAAGAAGACAGGCAAGAGAGCACAGGTAGCCTTGAGTTGGCTGATTTGCTTTCTTTGGAAAAAGACAATCACACCCTCCTCCTTTTCAAAAGAATAAATGAACAGATTAACCTGCAGGAGTTCAAATACATAGTCAGCAATCAGTAGACTTGCTTTATAAGCAAAGAAACCAAATGTGATATACTCTCCTAAAGAGGAATTGGTCTCTTTCTTTCTTTGCACAAGTCTGAAAAATGAAAAGTTCTAAGGTACAACTGAATGTTATCATCACCCTGCTCTTGACAGATTATTTTATTTAACCTTTTTTTCCACCAGAAATAGTCCCATTGATGTTCAGATCCTCTTTCCAAAGGGAACGCTGGCAAAATTATGGCATCAAAATAGAGCATAGATCTGGTTGCATGTTTCTGTCCGAACATGACCCGTGCCCGAGAGTGTGGCATCCGAGCCTGACCTGACAAGTTTAAAATGTATAATAGCCAAACCGGACCTGAGCCCAATGCAGTTGAGTATGTATAGGGGTTTTTTTTCCTTAGCATTAAACAAAGCAGACATTTGAGTGCTCCAGCTGTCTAGCTTAACGTTTGAGCCACAAGTCTGAACCTGATATGAACCCAATCATAATTTCTACATATCTGTCTGCACACGGCCCAAACCTTCAGGAAACCCAACGGGTCCCATAGGGCTTAGTTAGGGGTATCCACACTCTACATCAAAGTTACAGGCCAGGATAACTCAACATTTTGAAAAAAAAAAAAAACGTGCTGAACATGCCCAACATAAAATTGCAATTATAAGAACAGTTGGCAGTTAATCAAAAATATAAAATCAAAAAAATACTTTCTAAAAAGATCCAAGACAATCTAAAGAAGAGAATGAGAAGGAATTGTATACCAGGGAGTCTATAATCCCCTCAACTTTGCTAATCACAATACATTTGTTACTTTAATTTGTATTTATAGGGTATTCCGAGTGCTTGGAGTGAAGAAGGCAAAAGCTTTCTTTTCCATCTCTGTCTGATCACCAGGGACACACAGGTGATACAAATCCTGCAATCTGAGATTATATGGTGAAGATTAGTTTCTAGAAATTCATTTTGCAGAGATAGGGGGGCAGTTTGTCCAAAATAGCTTTATAAATAAAAAATGTACCAATGACTTCAATGATGCATGAAGAGAGATGGCCAGCCCACTTTGGAATACAGTACACAGTGATGAGTTAATGGTTTCAAATTAGTAACACATCTTAATGCATAAGCAGAGTCTACTTTATGCAGACATTGTAATGGGGTGTTTATGTACAGCAAATCAACACAATTAAAGACTGGTAAGCTAATATTTTTCAGGCTTCTACTGAAGGGCACATAATAGTCCTTTATCTCATTTTGACATGTCACAGTAGGATAAGCACAGCTGTAAATAATAACTGTTGATGACTGACTTCCACTTAGCTGCTGGGCCCTTGCACTATGAATACTGGCTCATTGTCAGGGCTTAGTGAGACCCCTGAATGAAGCATGGACCATCATTACTATTAGCAGTAACACATGTGCTTTCCCAGTATGACAAGCCAAGAAACACTGTTCATAGCACATGAGCCAAAAGGGATGGAAGGCTCCATGAAATTCAGATGGAGAATTTTTCTGTTAGTTTTCAAAGCATAGACTCCCCGGAAACAAACAAGAACCATCCATGACACTAAAGAAAATAAAGACCTAATGAATGATGGCCTGAGGACATAAAAAAAAAAAAAAAAAATCTAACAAAACATTCCTCTGGAGAAATCAAAAAAAAAAAACACACTTCACAACTGAAACCCTTACTGTGCAAAAACAATAAACACAAAGTAGAGACCAAAATTTCCTTGAGAGCAGAATGTCTGGTTGTCAATTCGTTTAATTCTAATGCCTAATGAAACTATCTGCTGCAACTAAAAACTAAAAGCTGACCGGGGATCACGGCACTGCTTAACATGAAAACACAGCTATGTCTACATCCACTCTACAGCCTTGCAAAATGCCCCATCCTTTAGATACACTACAGTGCTAAACATCAGCCTATATCAAAATAATAGAAAGGTGAACAGTGGAGAGTGCATGAGAGGGATCACAATGATTTATGAGCA